TACAAGTTAGCTGTAGTAGTGACAAGTACAATAAATGGACACAACACTGAGATCCATTAAAAGATACTCAGGAGACACCTAAACATTCATTTAACTGTTGAGTAAGAAAGGCACAGTACTGTGTCTGCCTAGAGTGAGTCTGTTCCGTTGATCAAAATCACAGGAAATAATACTAGTAATTGTTCTTAAGTGTTTGCCGGACTATTTGTTTATTTGTTTGACTTTTAATGGAGCATTTTAAAGATTCATTCCCTGAGGTTGAACTTTGTCTTTCCCTGCTTTGCTGATCTGCTCTGTGGGGTATAACACTTTCATGGATCTGCTCTGTGGGACACAAATGGCATTATATAACATGAGCCAGGACCACTGAGACCAATTTTCCTCTAATCTATTTATTCTTTGCTCATCATGTGAATAATTTATTCCAGTAGGCAAGTGTGCACTTGGCATTTATTTACTATTCACTGATAGCATAAACTTTATTAAAGTAGGTGCAAATTCACACTTAGAAGAGACAGTTTTTTGCAAGTGTAAGACACTTACTAAATCAAGATACTATGGTCCACTGTAAGTATGAACATTAAGGATTCTTTCATTCTTTAACAATTTTTTAACAATTCTCTCTCTGATCTTATCTTTCCATTTTAAATAAACTATCACCATCTTCTTCCAGATAAATGAAATATTGCTCAACTTAACTCCACTAGCAGGAGCTGGGAAAGAAACAGGTGTTGGGGACAGGGCACAAAGATGGCCTCTGCTTGTAGGGGCATGCAGAGAGAGTGAGAATCAGAAGAGCCCACCTCAGAATGAGCAGGCAAGGAGCAAGGGAATGGCTTGCTGGCCAGAGTAAGACACTCACACACTGGACTGGAAACCAGGCAAAGGGACAGTATAATAGTCCCAGGACAGTGAGTTGGACTGTCTGGCCAAAGGATCCATATGCTTTGGGTACAGCACTATAGGCAAGCAGGCTGATCACAAATGTGAAGTCTGGGAATCCTCTGGATAGAGTGGGAAGGTTCTACATTATACCTAAAGAAAAGAGCTAGGCAGCACCTGAGAAGTAATTACACATATAAGTACCTCATGTTGATCATTTCAAATGAGCCCAACATTACACTAAGGGCTTCATGTGCTGTGTGGTATTCCTAATAAGAGCTAAGCAGGGGTGTTCTCCTTCTTTATCTTCCCTCACTCCCTTTGAAGTAGCCTTGACCATAAACTTTCTTTGTCCAATAAGCATGAGTCAAATGGATGTATCACTTCTGGGTAGAGCATGAGAGTCATCATTTGATTTTACCAACCTCCCCTAAGCTGCCTTGGTAATCATGAAAATGAGCATCAGGAATGACTTGTTTTCAAGTGAACCTGCAAACTCTTCAAGGAGGAATGTGAATTTGCATCTTGGTGGCGGTGAGCTCTTTTCCTAAGGTCAAAAATTAATAAGAAATGGAGTCAGAGTCTAAACCCAGGTCTGCCTAACCAGAACCCTTACTTTCAACCACACTTTAGCAAAGGCCAATTGAATATACAGAAGAGAAAAAAAGGCATCATCCTCTCCATAAATAGCACCAGGAGACTTCTAACTGGCATAAAACCCCCTGAGTAAAGGAGCCTCTGCATCTTTCCCTGATTCTAAAAGATAAAAAAAGTAACGATAAAAAGGGCACAGAGCATAAAGGACACCAGCCTAATGCCATGTCCTATGGGATAGTCAAATCCTATGAAATCACTGCCCTCAAAGTGACTTAGCCCAAAGAGGGCTGAGACTTGTGGAATTAGGGTATTGCAGGGGCAGTCCTAGCCCCTTTTGCTTTGCTATACTGTAATTCTTCACTTCTACATTGTACCTAAAGTAAAAATTGTAACCTATAAAGAATAAGACTTCCATTGCTTCCCAAGTCGAATGCCTTCTAAAGCTGTAGGCATTATGACAGAAGAAGAAGCAGAATGTGCAACTAACAAGACAACATTAGGTATGTGGCCAGTAACTTTACCAGAGTTCAAAGTCCAGAATTCATGACACAGAACACAACTTGCTTACACCTTTTTCAAATCATGATTCAGCAATGGAAAAATTGTCTACCCATACTTCTTTCTTAATAAGTAGGTATTCATCTTAAGTACTGATCAATCAATGACAGGAATCAAATTTAAAGATGCATTGAAAATATTCTAATCCTCAACCAATTCATGTCATTTTCCTCTTGCTCAACCTGGGGATTCATCCAGTAGCCTTTAAACCAGAAAGAGAGAGAGAGAAATTATTCTCACTTTTAGCAAAGTGGGTGGAAATGTATTCTGTAGCTGTCACTTTCCATCGTGTTATTGACTTTCAGATTAAGCCGTGCCTCTGAAGTCTGGACAGAATCCACCCACTGCCACATCTCATCTCAGGGAATCCCGTTATTGTGATGACTGAATACGTGTGTCATTTGAAGTCATAATTTATTTATCCCCTTAATACTTAGATTGGCTTTTAAAGTACCAGCAAAATAACTGAGAGGCTGTTTTCAGGCATATGATCTCCATTATAATTATTAATTCATTTTTAACATAATAAAAATGGTGGTCATCCATTTGATTAGACAATAAGAAAGGTGTTTTCTAAACCACCACATGTTGCCTTTTAATTTCTATGACACATTCATCCTAATTCCTGCAATATTTAAACTAGAAAGCAACATACAGGTTCAGAACATTGCCTACAATAAAGTTAACATTCTTATGCTTTGTGTGGCAACCATATACCAGGCTACCTTTGTTATGGGTTTTAAAACTCAAATTGGTCTTGATGTTTCAGGTAACATTGGTCTACCTGAAACATCACAGACTATGAAACCCAACATATATAATAAATACTAAATGCTTGAATTCAAGTAAAATTTATATCTTTGTATGACTTTAATTTTTATGGCACTTTCATTAATATTAATTCATTAAAAATGTTTGTGGATATCACAAAGAGGTGGAAGAATATAACAAAACTCATCTGAAGCAAATCCCCATTTCTAATTGAAAGTGGGTTTGAATACACATCTCTCGTGAAACATAGTTGAGAAAGCAGAACAAACACTATTCTGATTTTAATAACAAATGAGGTGATTGATTTTTTTTTTTTTAATGAATGCAATGCTCTCTTTTGGAGTATCTGAGTGAAGAAATAAGCACAGATCACACATGCTTTCAAACAACCAGCTCTTCATTTGCTTGATCTCTAATCCTCAGGAGAGGACCCAGCATCCTGTGCAAAAAGGTGAGGCTGCTGTGGCCCACATGGTAGGTATAATACTTTCAATTAAAATCTGGACATGAGAAAGCATTTAAGTATAAGCATGCAACATCTGTGACTCAAGAAGACACAGTTATAGACGGTTGCACTATTGATTTTCAGTAAGAGAATAAAGGAAACAGATCAGACCAAAGCACGAGCTGCAAATGAACACACATTCAGGGTAAAAACTAAAATGAAGACTTGTTCTGTCACCATTCTAGGGCTGGATCATTTTTTCTTGGGACTAAATCAACAATATCAAGAACAAATTACATAAAGATGCTATTAGCCCCCTTTAAACTCACATCACCAGTCCCTTCGTTAATTCCAGAGTATACGTTTTTAAATTGATACTGCTGTTGCTTTTCAAACAACTTGGCATCATAGAATCTCCAACAGTGACTTCTGTGGTCTTATGGATCTCAGGCATCTTTCTGGCATCAATAAATGACTCTACACACAAGATAGAGCTTGTAAATCAATTCAAAGCTTTAAATTCGGGTTTTAGAATTAGTCATTCCACGGATTTAATCAGGCCAGAAGGAAAAAAAAAAAAAAAAAGGAACAGACCCTCCTTGCAAATTGTAATGGAGAAAAACCTTTTTGAAGGCTTCCTCCTAGGAAGCCCTGGGTGCTGCAAAGTCCACAAAAAGCCCTGGGGTGGGGGTGGGGCAAATGGGATTCAGGTTGGTGCAGCTGGAAAGATGTGTGAGTTACAGGAGTTTTGGATCTTATCTTTTTTATCATTATTGGCGTCATGACCCAAATACAGGGAAACCTCCACATTCCATTAACAGACTCAATGTGGATTCTGTTGTTCCAAGGGAAGAAAAGAGCAATTCTCCTTACCTAGTTGTGCTACACTCTAAAGATAATTCTTAGTTTCATTTTAACATTTGGCTTAAAATGATGCTGGCGGGCCAGATTTGCAAAACCCCATGGATTCACATAACACCTTTTTAGAAGGACTTTTTCCTTTCAGAATGGCCAGTCACAGGGGCTCAACCCTGGAGCCAATAATACTGCGCGCCGAAGCTTGCACTCAAAATTGAGTGGAGATCTTAACTCGCAAGCTCGCAGGCTCCCACCCTGCAGAGTAGCAGGTTTCGGGGTAGCAGGGAAATCCGCTCATTCTTTCATCTCTTTCCTTGCAACGCGCAAATCTCTCTCTAATTGGGCTTAAGTAGAGAAGATCGCCAGCTGCTCATCTCGGCGGACACACTGCAGAAAACTCTAATGGCTTGTGTGTGGGCTCAACCTGGGTCTCCAGTAACAACTTTACAGTTTCACCAATTTTAGTTTCTGGACAGAGTGAAATAGCCCAAAAGGCTCAGGCAAACGCCCCTCTAAACCCTCTACCTTACAATGCCGAGTTCCTCGAAGCCACGCTTATGGCACTTTCTACTTTATACTCACCTCGTACATATACCCCCGCCCCCCAAAACAGAGTGCATATGAACCCTACAGCGAGAAGCTGGTGAGAAGGTCTGGGTTTGCAGGGGCCAAGCGTTGCCTGAAAGGGAATCCCCACTCCCTTCCCCCCTCAGTCCCGTCATTAAGGCGAGAAACTGAAGGAGAAAAAGCCCCGGGGTCGGACCGAGGAATCGGACGCCCTTGTCCCCGCGCCTAACTCCCAAACCCTGAGCGCGCACTGGCCACCACCTCAGGAGGGGTGGGTGCTGCAAGTGCGAAGCAGAGGCCCCCGGGAGCGAGCCGTCCTTACGTGCTCGAGTTTGTCTTTCCTCCGGAGCCAGACGCTGGCGCTGTAGTCCTGCTGCTTGACGCTGCTGTAGAAGTTCGCGCCCACTCGGGTCAGGCTGGGCGAGGGCTCCTTGGGGCGGCTTTTGAGCCTCATCTGCTCGAAGCCCTCGTGGGGGGAGGCCGAGAGCCACTCGTGCTGCCGGATCTCCATCCTGACATGACCAGGCGGCAGCCAGCGCGCAGCGGACTCGGGATGAGAGCAGCGCGCAGGGAGCGGAGCACAGAAGGCGAGCGGGAGGCCAAGCAGGGGTGGAGAAGGAGTGTGCGGGCTCAGGAGCGCGGAGTGCCGACGCCGGCGGGGAGCGCGCGGCTGGGCGGGAGGGGCGGTCGCAGAAGGAGAGGGGCCGA